AAAAAAAAAAAAAAAAAGTGAGCTAACAAAGCCGAGCATTCAGTAAACTCTAAACCACCCTCGCACCCCAATGCAGGATGCCATACGTCTGTGTCCAAAGAAGCATCTTTGAATAATTTTTGTGCACTGAGACAGGCACAGGTGGTAACAAGTCCATTGACGTAGAAACTTCAACCAGAATTATTTTATAGAAATAACGATCAGCTCAAAGGTGACTATGGTAGAAGGTCACTGAAAGGTGGGTTTTTAAAAGTAGCCAATAACAATCAGGACGAAAAATTCTCCTTTTGCAAGTTGCTTTTTCCTGTGGACAAACGTTCCAGATGTAGGTAGGTACAAAGCCTTCATGCCCATTAGAGTTACTGCTTATAAACATCATCAGCTAACTTTAAAGAGTGCACATTGCCTCTTGCCTTCTGAGATGGCCCGCACACTCTGTCAGTGGAGTGTGTTTCTCCCAGGGCCGCTCTCACTTTCTGAGATGGACCGCATTCTCTCTATGCAATGAGTATCTCTCTAAATAAACCTGCTTTCACTTAAAAAAAAAAAAAAAGTGCACAGTTCACTTTTTCATTGGAAGAAAGAGGTAGTATTAAATTCTTTTATCTATTACGTTAAATCACAAATACCTATAAGCATTGGGCTATTTGGATCTGGCAAAAACACATTAGAACCTTTACTTGCAGATAAATCTTGGAATTTAAAAATTCATAATGAGGAGCAGACATCCTGTGGTTACAACCTCAATCAGTTATCTACGGAGTTGTCAAAATAAAGCACTCTTCCTTCCAGAATCTACCTGGAAAGAAAAGGACATTTCACTGAAGGAGGAGGTAGGAGGAGAAAGGGGGATGCAGACATCGCTCACCTCACCATTGTCCAGAACAGCCATGGACGAGGTCTGACCGCAGGCAATGCCAACCACCCTCTTAATATGTAAACAGTTTGTAACTTTGCGAGGAGTTGGTTGATTTGCTGTAGATCCTGATCCCACCTGGCCACAGTTGTTATAGCCCCAAGCAAACACCTACACAACGGAAGGGGAAAAGAAAAAGAAAGAAGAGTAAGGGTGAAAATTCTACCTCTAACACCCAGTAACAATCAAAAAATAAAAATAAAACCACTTAATGAGTACTTACAATGTGCTAAATGGTCCTAAGTGCTTTACATGCATTAACCCATCTAATCCTCATACTAATCCTGTAAGATGACCCTGGAATAGGTACTAGTATCATCCCCATTTTATACATGTAAAATAGAAACACAGAGAGGTTGAGTGACTTGCTTGAGACTCCACAGCTAGCAAGCAGAATTTACTACTAATCTGAACCCAAGCAGTCTAGCAGCGCTCTTAACCACTATGTTATACTTCCACTATAATTATGGCAGCTATATAGGATTTTTAATCCGGCATCAATAGGAAATGAGGTATATGCCACGTAAGTATGCCACAGTGAAAAAATCAGCCTAACTCTCTGGGCACAAATAGTCTTTTTTTTTCCATCGAAACTTCTGAAACCATTCTATGCTTTTCCCTATCTCACTAATCACCAATAGGAGACATTATATAAATTTTCCTGATGACACAAGCCTACCACCATTGTGATTATCAATCATAGTTCCACGTCCTAACACAGTCATGCTCACAAGTACTAAGGAGATGCTGTCCCTACAGGAATGACATGGGGTTGTTAGGCTATTCTTGATAACATTTTCTGAGTTCTCATTTGCTGTCTGTCAGCTCCAAGCAGCTCCCCTCCTCAACTGCATCCTGCTTATTTCTGGCCTGTGATTGGCCGTAACCTGAAAACCAGATTTCTAAGGGAGAGAGATACAAATAGAGCTCTAAGCTAAGTTAAAGAAGAAAAACAAAACTAAAAATCACTTTAAGTTAATTATTAACTGAGCCTATCAAACAAGAGTGTGACCAGAGAGCAGAATTATAGAGGAGGGGGGGATGCTGGTAGCAGAGGAGATAACTTCCTCCATCACTAGGAGAATTTGTAAGGACCCCTCTCACCCCCTTCACTTGCCTGTGGGAAGTGGTCCTCACACATCCTGAGTTCCGGCTTCCACAATTCTCTTTTCCTCTGTCAGCACTTTCTATCTAAGTTCACGTGTCTGAGGCTGCCCACGTGATGTCTTAAAACCCACGGCTGATGTCTTAAAAAGAATATGTGCTACAGGTTCATTTCATAGGCACAAAAGAAATAACCTGCCATACTTCCTGAAAGTGGATTCACAGGACTAGCTAGTGTAATAATGCAAATATTTATCCAAAGTAGCATATGCTTCAGGTTAAAATAAACCAGGAATCCAGGCTGCACAAATTAGCAAGTTCTAATTTCAACAATCATTCTTCTGCACTTCTTTTCAAATATCCCAAGTTGCTTTCCAATGCAGTTGCCTTTTATTTCAAAAATGGGAACGAGGGTTCCACTAACCAAGAAACAGACTAGGAACAGCAGATTCTGCACATAAGGCCTGCTAGGCCTGGCTCCAGCACATCCCAGCCATGAAACCTTGATCTCCCTAAGGTGCTCTGGTTTGTTCACCCATAACCTACCCTACTTAGTAAAATCACAGTAACAGCACTGAAGGACTTTAAACAGGGAACGATATGATCTGATCTGCATTTCATAAATCACAGGGGGCAGAGAAGTAATACTGCACAGGCAGACCAACTAAAAAGCTATAGAATAAAAGAGACCATGGCAACAGTCCAGGAGATGACAAGGCCTGACCTAAGGTTATGGAGATGGAAAGGAACAAGACGATACAAAAGACTGGAAGGTAGAACCAACAGGATGAGTAACATTTAAAATAAGCATGGAACTTGGGGGGTGAACAAGTTGTTCAGAACCTACTGGAATGTTGGTGAAGTTATTTTCTATGATATCATTACATTTACTGAAAAACAAAACAGACCTTAGGGGATGGGGGTCATTAAAAAAACAAAAGTATAGAACACTGTCATGCACATCTGATTTGTAATCTTAGCAAAAAGCACGAAACTCAACTGCCTTAAGAATTAACTCTACTGTCTTCAAAAGAGTGGTCCTGATCACACAATATAAGTTGTAATAGAAAAAGGGTTCATTCCCATACTGTTCTTAGCGACGCACACGGGGCTGCTATGTTCACACCATATCCAAGTACAAATGTGGTCATTTTTTTTTTTGAAAAGCAAAGCACTTTCACAATAGCCAAAGGTAGAAATGACCCAAATATTCATCGACAGATAAATGGATAAACAAAATAGACAATGAAGTATTATTCAGCTTTAAAAAGGAATGAAATTCTGCTGCAGGCTGCCACATGGATGAACCTTGAGGACATCATGCTGAGTGAGATAAAGGCAGTCACAGTGGACAAATACTGTATGATTCCACTCATGTGAGGTACCTAGAGTAGTCAAATTCTTAGAGATAGAAAGTAGAATGGTGCTTGCCAGGGGCTGGGAGTAAGAGAAAGTAGAGAGTTAATGTTTAACTGGTACAGAGTTTCAGTTTTGCAAGACAAAAAGAATTCTGTGGATGGATGGTGGTGAGGGTAGCATAACAATGTGAATATACTTGTCACTAATTAAAAACTGAGAAGAAAGAACAAAACTCAGGTATTCAAATAAAGCATATGCACAGCCTTAGCACAGCTCTCTTACCCCTGCCGTCTAAGCCCTTAGATGATGGGAAATAGATCAGAAAATACTTAGAATATAGAACAGAAAATACTTGGTCCATCATCTGTTGCTCAGAGGAGATAACCATCTCAATTTTAGGTGAGACAATCAAAAAAGTTATCTGTCACAGAAAATAAAAGGTTTGCCCAGAGCTGCCCACATTAAATATAGGGAAGGTGAAGAGAATCGATATGGCAGGGGGCGGGGGAAAAAAAAAAAAAAAAAAAAAAAAAAAAGGTTAAGATGGTAAATTTTATGTTACATGTATTTTACCACAATTTAAAAATAAAGAATAAAGGCAGGGCACTTACCTCTCCATCAGCTGCCAGAGCCATTGAATGATGTGAGCCACAAGCTACTTCAACCACTTGCTTGATCAAGAGGTTGGTGCAGACTTGGATGGGAGCAATGCCTTGGTTGGTCGTCCCATTCCCAAGCTGGCTATATCCATTGTGGCCCCAGGCATAAACAACTCCATCTATACAGGATGGCCGCACACAAAGAATCAGCTTAAAGAAGAAACAGTGACCCCTGTACTTTGCTCAACTCATCTTCCAATCTTAATTTCTTTTTGTGACATTGTGATTTATAAGAAATACATATCTGGTCATCCAGATTACAAAAATGCACTTATCTTGTATATTTAGTCTTCACCCACAGTTCCTGTCTCACAGCTCCCAAAACCGGTGGAATATCCTAAGTGTTGAGAATGATAAGGGTATCTTTTGTTATGTGAATGAGGTGACTTTTGGAAGAGCCTAAGGATGATGGGTCTGTTGCCAGAAGAACCAACCACAAGATTAGAGGGTTGGAGGGGAGAGGGGCTGGAGGCTGAATTAACTGCCACTGCCAATGACTTAGACAATCATGACTATGTAATGAAGCCTCCATAAAAACCCAAGAGGACAGCTAACTTTGGCCCCTGTTCAGAAAGCTGCCATGTTGGGGAACCAGAACACTTACATGTGCCACTGTGCCAGGCACCAGGCTCTACGAGGACAGAAGGTCCTTTATTCGGGCTGTTAACTCATATCCTTTAATATCCTTTTATAATAATCAGTAATCTAGTGAGTAAATGGATTTTCTGGAGTGCCGGGAGCCATTCTAGCAGATTAATCAAGCCCAAGGAAGGAACTCCCCATCGGTCCAGTGGTTAGGACTCTGTGCTTCCACTGCTGAGGGCCCGGGTTCGATCCCTGGTCAGGGAACTAAGATCCCACGTGCCACATGGCGGGGCCCAAAACAAAGGAAAACCCAAGGAGAGGGACACGGAACCTCTGATTTGCAGCAGGTTAATCAGGAGCACAGGTAACAACCTGAGCTTGTGACCAACATCTGACGTGGAAGGTGGTCTTGTGGGACTGAGCCCTTTACCCAAGGAATCTGATTCTATCTCTGGATAGGTAGTATCAGAATTGTGTTGGATTCCTGGACACCGTGCTGGCACCCAAGAATTACTTCTTGTTGGGGGATGTGCACGTGCACGCACACACACACACACACACACACACACACACACACACACACAACTGGGTCCAGGAACTCTCTATTCAGTTGATGTCAGAAACAGGATTTGCAAGAACAGCCCTGGCTCACAGACACATGGTTTTTGAAGACAAAGGATAAAAGGTCAAGGAATGAGGAACCTTTGATTCCTAGATGGCTACCTAGTCCCCATGGTATGAAACTACAGCTGTGGTGCAATCAGTTACTAAAGGTGAAAGTTACCAATGCCGTTTAGAAATGGGAGTAGACGCAACTCCCAAGGAGTTGGCTCAATGGATATATAAGGAAATGCAAAATAAGAAGCACACTAAATAAACAATTCCTGGGACTTCCCTGGTGGTCCAGTAGCTAAGACTCCACGCTCCCAATGCAGGGGGCCCGGGTTTGATCCCTGGTCAGGGAACTAGATCCCATGTGCTGCAACAAAGATCCCACATGCAGCAACGGAGCTCCTGCGTGCCACAACTAAGACCCAGCACAGCCAAATAAATAAATGAATACTTTTAAATAAATAAATAAACAATTCCCCGCTTATTTCATATGTAAGAGCCGAAATAAAAATAAAACAAAGTGCTTGGCCTTGATGCTGATTCAAGCTCAGATTTGGGTCAATCTGAGCTCCAGCCACTAGCCTCAAAGCTGCCTAGAAAGGGAAACATTATGCAACAGAAAGTACCTCTAGTACCTCTGGGTCGCCAAGAAAATAGTTACCATAGGAGAAGGGCAAGAACAAGAAACAACTAAAAGCAAGGGATATCGTGTGAAGGAACTGGCTCGCTTTGAGGAGCAGCAGCATCAGCTTCCTGAGGAACCTTTACTGAACCAGACTGTGAGATGAACTAATTCAAGGGCTGTGTCTTTGACTTTGAAGGCTGCAGAATGGAAGAGCAATGTCTGCATTGATGTAGGACCCACTGCTCTCTACTGAACAATCACAGGTGTCTGTACATGATCCAGACACTCAGGAGGTTATTCCCGAGCAGACAGCCAGATTGGTGGACTGGATAAAAGCCACTGTAAAGTCTGTTTATCCTGATAAGAGGGATTTCCCAGCGCCCCCTGTTAATGCCAGATGGAACACCCCAGATGAAGCAGCTGAGATGCTTCGTATGCAAGCCATGTGGGACTGGCTTTATGATGACTGGGATATTCACCCACTGAATACGCCCATTACCCAGATTACGGTAAATGCTGCGATTAAGGGGGTCCCTGTTACATGGGCACCTCATGTAACTTTACTGCTACAAAATCAAACAGTTTGAGACACCTTACCTAATTTGCTATCTCAACTTCCCCATAGAGGCCTTACTAAGAACATTA